ATGGCGAAAGGCTTTTCAGTGATGCTTTGGATGACTGCTAGCCTGGCTACATTCCCGGCCAGCAGCCAATCTCTTTAAAATTCAATTGCTTAGCAAGGTCAAAATGGCAAAAGAGGAAGACGGGGACTTGGGACTTGAAATCAAATCACGGAGGAGATGAATCCCATCTCACAGGATAGGTTTGCTAGGCAGCACTCCACCATTAATCTTTCCTCATATCAAAATTCCACCCCTGCAAAGCTCGGATACAAAAAAAGAAAAGAAAAGAAAAGAAACCCTCTCTGTATTTTGTAAAATAATAATAATAATGTAATGGAAAAAATGACATTGAGAATCGGAGCACTTTTCACAGTCCTGGCCTGACTCTGCACAGGAATCCCAAGGCGTTTGCACGAGCCAAGAACCCTCTCAGCAGCACCAGTGATTTCATCAACCCACATTTGCATGCCAAGCCCAGGCACAACGGTCGGGGGGTAGGGTACACCTGCCATTGTTGCTACTGACAATGGACTATAGTTCGGTGTTATCGTTCGCCTTTACCACACAGCAAGTCTCAGTCTCCAGCATCTCTAGGTGAAGCTGGTAAAGTCTCCTGCCTTCAACCCTGGAGCATAGCTGTCAACGTTTCCCTTTTTTAAAGGGAAATTCCCTTCTTCCGAATAGGATTCCTTGCAAGCAAAGGGGAAAGTTGACAGCTATGCCCTGGAGAGATGCTGCCAGTCAGTGTAGGAAATATTGAACTGGATGGACTGAAGGTCTAGCTCTGCAGAAGGCAGCTTCCGCTGTGCACAGTTCCAGTGGTTTTCCTGAGCCAAAACCAGCCCCTTCAGTCAATAGGCGGAATCTAAGAAGTAAAAAAAAAAGCAGAGACATCACCTTGCCGACAAAGGTCCGTATAGTTAATGCTGTGGTTTTCCCAGTAGTGATGTATGGAAGTGAGAGCTGGACTATAAAGAAGGCTGATCGCCTCTTGAGAGTCCCATGGACTGCAAGAAGATCAAACCTCTCCATTCTGAAGGAAATCAGCCCTGAGTGCTCACTGGAAGGACAGATCCTGAAGCTGAGGCTCCAATACTTTGGCCACCTCATGAAAAGAGAGACTCCCTGGAAAAGACCCTGATGCTGGGAAAGATGGAGGGCACAAGGAGAAGGGGACGACAGAGGACGAGATGGTTGGACAGTGTTCTCGAAGCTACCAGCATGAGTTTGACCAAACTGTGGGAGGCAGTGGAAGACAGGAGTGCCTGGCGTGCTCTGGTCCATGGGGTCACGAAGAGTTGGACACGACTAAACGACTAAACAACAACAATAAGTCAAAGGGCCATAGCTCAATAGAAAAGTATCCGTCTTGCTTGTGTGGAAGATCCTGGGTTAAGTCCAAATAAGGTTGGGAGATGCCCTTGGCTGAATTCACGGAGAGGTGCTGCCAGTCTGTGTAGACAAGACTGCGCCGGTGATTCTGACTCAGAATAAGGCAGTTTTCTACGTTCCTCACTCATTTAATCCAAGTCAACTCAAAATGTATCACAAGCATCAGAATTCCCCATAATTGCTACACACCGCAACTTACTGAGGGTGAAACGTTAAGCCTCCATCCCATAATGTAATGTAGTGGGTTTCACTGTGACGACAGTGAAGCTTACAATATCTTAGGCATGGACATTTGAGTGATCCCCACAGAATGATGACAATAAACAAGAACCCTGGACCCCAAGCCATTGGGTTTTCCATAACCATTTTTTTTGTAAGAGAGGTTGGGTGGCCATCTACCATTGATGCTTTAGTTGAGATTCCTGCATTGCAGGGGGGGGGGGGCGGTGGACTAAAAGACCCTTAGGGATCCTTCCAACTCCCTTTTTTGGGGGTGGGGATGTCACCCAAAATCCCCCCCCCCAAGAATTCAACCAAGGGACACCGCATATGCCACAATGTGTCCCTGCTGCCACAGACTCTCCAGTGTTGCATAGAACATTTTCCTGTGACCTTAAAGGGAAAAGAATGCTGCCGCCCAGGACTGACCTGCTGAGAGTCTGAGGGCCCTGCCCTGCCTCTCTCCACCTGGCTTGGGGCGGGGCCTGACAGGCTCCATAAAGGACTGCTGCTGCTGTTGCTCAACAGAGAGGGCTCCTTTTTAAAAATTGTTTATATTTTTTATCTATGTCATTTTAAATTGTTGTTGATATTAATGTATTTTTAGTTTTAGATTTTATGATTTATGTGGAAATGGTTTTCCATTTGGTTGTGTACCTTTGGATGTGTTTTGTTTATTGTTTATGACATTTGTTATGTTGGTAATTATGTAAACCTTGTCATGTTGTAAGCCACGTTGAGCATTGTTTTAACTATGGAAAGGCGGCATACAGTGGTATCTCGGGTTACAGACGCCTCAGGTTACAGACGCTTCAGGTTACAGACTCCGCTAACCCAGAAATAGTACCTCGGGTTAAGAACTTTGCTTCAGGATGAGAACAGAAATTGCGCGGTGGCAGCAGGAGGCCCCATTAGCCAAAGTGGTGCTTCAGGTTAAGAACAGTTTCAGGTTAAGAATGATCCTCCAGAACGAATTAAGTTCTTAACCTGAGGTACCACTGTACAAATAAAATGATGATGGTGATATGATGATGATGGTTATGATAACAGAGTTATTAAGCAAACCAATCCATGATGCTAAATGCATCTATTCAATGTAGACTGGTCCTCACTGGGAGGGCAGTAGGCAAGGAGGCTAACAGTAGGTGGTACCGAATGGTTAGCAGAACTACATCCAAGTAATTTTTGTTTTTGGGGTGGGGCTGGCTGAGGGCAGACTGAGCTCAGAGGGGCAGTGTCTCACTTATCCTAATGGCAAAAACCTCCGCTGCATATGTAATACACAACTGGTTCTGCCTGGGAACCAATAATCTTGCAACTGTGCTAAAGGCAGCTGTCAAACACAAGTCAGTGCGCCAGAAGAGACTGTCATTGCCCAGACCAGCGGCAGTCTGAACAGAAAGTCGTAAGAGCCCTTCTGGTTAGGGAGAGTCGGTTGCAAGTCTGGTTGGATGGAATCACTCCAGAATGCCTTCAAGCCAAGAAAGGTGTCAGGCAAGCGAAGGTTAGCCAAGGGCAGTCTGAGCATGGTGGGGCAAATGATTGTTATAAGAATTTTAAGGTGATATATATATATTCATAACTGTATATATAAACCACATGTCTGAAACCCCATAGAAAAGGTCCTGAACAAATTGACCTCAAATATATCTCTGCAAGGTCAAAGTGGGAAACCTCCCCATTGTCTCTTTCCTCACAAATCCTGTCTTAAGGGCACATTCAAGATATGAACAGGGTGTGAGCCTGTGACCTGTGACCTCAATTCAGGAATTAAGTAGTTATAATAACAAAAGAGTGGTCAAAACCCAGATAATGCAATCAGGTAACTTGCCAGACAGGAGATAAACAGCGCACTCAGATTTCTGTTGTAGACCACCCTTTCTGTGTTGTAGGTATGATGTATCTGGGGGGGGGGGTCTTGGACTCCAGGGTGGGCAATTTAAAATGTCTATATAAGGGTGGGCACACCTTTGTTCTGGGTCCTCCTCCTCTCTCCTGCATGTGGGGGAGCACCCTGTTGCAACAGTTTAATGAAGATCAGTCTTACTAGCTGCTTTGCTTCTCAATATTCTCTGGTTGGCCTCTGTTATTTTCTCCTACTGATAGAGAACCTATAAAAGGACTCTATATGGGCTCTTGGGTACCCCATAAGGGAAAAGGAGCAGTTTTTTTCTTATATCAGGATCACAGAATTGTAAAAGTTGCAAGGGACCCCAAGGTTCATCTAGTCCAACTCCCTGCAATGCAGGAATCTCAACTAAATCCCTGTTTGCCCTGATGGACCAGCTACCACTTGGATATAAGGCAACTGTCTATGTTCCTATCACCATTTAACTATGTCCCTCCTCCAAATAGTACTCTTAAGTTAATAGCATATTTATTTATTGCAATTCATACCTCATTACTTCAAGCTGGAAGAGAAATCTTTCCGAGGTGAGGCTTCTTATGCCTTTTCCCTTTTAATGATGGGCAGCAACAGAGGCCACCCAGTGACTCCTTGGCTAAATGGGAATTTGAATCACAGCCCAAGGTCAACACCCTCTTAGCTGGCTCTGCTCAATTTATTTTTCCTATAAGGAGATAAGACACTTTCATGCACAACTATAAACCAGGATTACTCGAAACTTTTTTTATGAGTCTGATCACATATTTTTACAGTCACTGTTCTATGTCAAATAACCTTCAAAACCTGTTTCCCCTCTTCCTCAAATGTGTATTGGCAAAATCAATCCAAACGAGCACAGCTGTAAGTATAAAGATTTACTGTTCATTATAAAAGCTACTTTATATTCTCCTGGAATTTCAGCAGCCATCCTCCCAGGGCCCAGCTGCCCTGCCAAGATCTTCGCTCAGTAAGCAAGCAAGCAAGCAAGCAAGCAACCATCTGAATTTTCCCTTTCAGATTTGTTTTGTAGCTATCAGCCTTTTCACACCCGCACAAGCCGGAATGGAGAAGGAAATGTATTTGGTTCACATTTTAATGCCAGTTTATCTAATCCATACTTCCTCAGCCGAGAGACAACTATCTTTCAAGATCCAAATATTGCAGTCCAGTTCGTCAACCCCCCCACAAATTGCACACATAAATTTATATGCTGGGAATGGTACATAAACATATGTATCATTATGTGCTACCCCAATCTCCAAGCAGTGAGAGATTGCAGGGGTTCCAGTGCTCACCCAGGGCTGAGCGTGGGTCAATGGACACTGTGGTGTCTTTAGAAGATATGGCTTATGCAACCTGGATGAAGGGGCTTGCAGCATAGGACGGATGGGAAACAAGATCCCATAGATCTTGTTTCCTCATCTGGCTCCTAGGAGAATCCCAAATACCAGCACAGAGCAACACATGTCTTTCTGTCCTCCAGTTTTCAACTCACCACAACTCTGGCTATTGTTCTTTTACCCTAGTCTTCCTGTGGCACAATGGGTTGGGGCATCTGGCTGTTAATCAGAAGGTTGGTGGTTTGTTAACCAGGAGGTTCGTGGTTTGAGCCCACCCAGGGATGACTGTGGGCAGAATTCCTGCATTGCAGGGGCTTGGACTAGATGACCCTCAGGGTCCCTTCCAACTCTAGATGTCTATGATTTTGTGCTTCTACCAGCTAGGCAGGTTGGAAGAACGCCATCACTTTGCTGTAGCTCTTGCAAACTAGCTCACTTTGTAATGCTGATGACGGGCATTTTACTGGCCAGCCAAAAGCATGACCTTAATAAAGGAACTGGTCTGGCAGGTTCTGCATCCTTTTTGACTAGATCATGGGTAGGCAAACTAAGGCCCGGAGGCCAGATCAGGCCCAATCACCTTCTAAATCTGGCCCACGGACGGTCGAAGAATCAGTGTTTTTACATGAGTAGAATGTGTCCTTTTATTTGAAATGCATCTCTGGGTTATTTGTGGGGCCTGCCTGGTGTTTTTACATGAGTAGAATGTGTGCTTTTATTTAAAATGCATCTCTGGGTTATTTGTGGGGCATAGGAATTTGTTCATTCCCCCCCCCCAAAAAAAAATATAGTCTGGCCCCCCGCAAGGTCTGAGGGACAGTGGACTGGCCCCCTGCTGAAAAAGTTTGCTGACCCCTGGGCTAGATTCTAACCCTTACTGGAGGCAGGATCACAGGCCTGGAAAGGATCCAAGGATATTGTCTGACCTCCATCCAAAACCAAAAACATTGACACTTGTGAGATCAAGATGTGATCATTACCCATGAGACCTTAACCAATATATTTGATAATTTTCAAACGCCATTTCTTTTGGCACTAATCAATGGAGAACGGTTAGCAGGGAAAGGATAAATTTTAGCAGAGGACTAATTTCAAGCTTCTCAGGGGCTCTGGGTGGTTAGCGCTCTTGGAAACATGATGTGATGTGCCACTCTGCATGCCCTCCTTGAAACCTTGTGAAACCTTGTCTAGGACAGCCCTAGGGATGACAAAGGGCTGTTTACATATGGGGCAATAGATGGCTCCACAAGCTTGAAAGTTGGTTCAGATACCAGAGAGGAATGGCAAGATAAGCTGATGAACTATGCCAAAATGGCAAAGCTAACTGGAAAACTTCTGCAGAAATAAAATTTATTATATGTGTTAATACAAACGGAAGGCAAGAACTCTGTAGCTGTTGATATGAGACTAAGATCAGGGCTGAATGTAATTGGATTAATCAAGATTTCGGAAGCAGGAAGAAATAAGAACTTATTTCACACAAATTGTATAATTGGCTTTTTATATAACTGATATATATGAATTGTAATTTGACACCAATAAAATGTGGCTGTTATTGGATTTTAGTAATTGAAAATTAATAAAAATTATTTAATAATAATAAAGAAGGAAAACTCAAGAACCAAGAGGACAAAAAGAATGGGAAAAATTATGTTATTTAGGAGACCGCTGCAAGCAGATGGAAACATTAGCAGGATCTTAATCGCACTTGTAATGCAACAATAACCATGGATAATATGGATCGATATAAAATATAGATTATGGATTAATATGCAGTTGTAAATGTTGATAATAAGACCCCTGGAGGGGGTGGGGGAAGCTGCAAGATTCAGAGTAATCTCTATATATGGATATGCATTTGGACTGATATAATTTTGTATTTGTAAAATAAAATTTAAAAAGATTTTTTAAAAATTCCACCAAAACACACACATACAAAAAAAAAAAAAGTTGGTTAGATAGTTAGGAAAAGTGGCTGAACTTTCACTGTACCTCCTAACAGATTTCTTCCCCCCCCCCCTTACCATTCCAAAAGGCAGGAAATGATCTGGACACCGCACTGGAAATCTGTGGACCATAAAAAGTGCTCTCGAAATTGTATGCTTCATGGAAGTGTAGAGATTCTCATAATCCTCTTGATAGGGTTGCCTTGGCATGGTCAGCTGGCCCTGTTTGCCAAAGCTTTGTAAAACAAGGCTTCTCCCGGCGCTCTGACATTGCAAGAGCCACTGCCAGCTCAAGTGCATTGTCCTTCAGCTTGTGCTGTTGATTGAGCTTAAATATCAAATATATTTGTGGATGAAGAAGGCTTTGTGAACTTCCTGCTTGGTTTTGTCTGGAGGCCACGCTTGGCTTGCCTGACCGCTTCCTTTGCACTTTTGGAGCCTCGGTTTCTCTTCCCAGACACGCATCTCAAGAGTCCGTTTCTGGCTAACTGCTGCTTCTGACATTTGACCAGTGCCAGAGCTCTCGGATCTGCAGAAATGGCACAGTATCCGTTAGCAGGGCAAGACAAAGAGGAAAGGGACGGATCTCTGGAAGGCTTGGGAGGAGGATGTACAGTGTTGTGATAGCTGGGTGTGGGCATTTAAATTTAGGACATTCCAAAGTAGGTATCTGAACTTTGACCTGGAAGCTCCTATGAAACGTTGGATGTAATCCATTGGAGCAGTCAAATGCAACATTCCTGATTTCCCTAGAGTTGTCAACCTTTTTTAAGGGGGGGACCCCAAAGTTGTTGACTTTTTGGCTGCTCCCACCCTCGCGCTGCTGCCCTGTGCTGCTTGCGTGTGGCCAGGCATCGGCTCCCACGGCGTGGCAGGATTATGGTGTTGGACTGGGCAGCTGGGTGCAATGGGGGCGGCACAGGAGGCAGGCAAGGGTCTCATCCGGGCAGGAACAGGCGAAGCAAGCTGGGCCGTCCACGTCCCCGCAGCAGAGAAGTGCGCTCACTCAGCCACAGTCTCGCTGTCCTTGCTTGGGGAGGAAGGTGTTGGGATATGTCCAAGGGAGCAAGGGCAATTCGCAGGCACCCAACTGGCTCCAGCCCACTGACCGGCAGCCGGGCGAACTCCAGTCATTGGAACAGCATCAAACAGCGACTCACAGCTTCAGAAGCCTTTGGAAACTTGAGCACGCCTTAATCAGCAGAGTGAATAACATGCAACAGAAGTGGCGGACAGAGGCATATGTAAAGCATATTTACAAGCAGTTTATTCAGCATAGTTCAGGACCAAAAAAAAATGTCTGCTCTCCTTCATGTCTAAGAGCAAGAAGCACAAGGCTATACACAAACAGAAAAGCACAAAGCTATACACAAACAGAAGTTCCCAGCAAGCTGTGCTGAAATGTAAACAGACATGTGATATACAGCAATCCACATATCTGTTCCTCTTAGGTGAAATGGAACATCAATATCCTAACAGAAGGTGGGGGGAGGAGAGAGCGTGACTGGGATGAGATTGGGCAGGGGAAGGAAACACGGTTCATGTGGAGGAATGCAGAGGTAGGGGGGCAGCAGGAGGAGACAGGCTCCGTACAAGGCAGTGGAGAAGAAGGGGAAGGAGGGAGGGGTGCTGGGGGCAGCAGTTGCAGCGTGTAGCCTCGAGTGCGGGGATCTTTCGAGGTTGAGTGGGTGGAGGCAGTGGTGGTAGAGTCACATTTATTATGTGCAGAGCTTGGGGAATATGCAGAACTGGCAAAACTAACAGAAAAATTACAAGGACAACAAAGACTTTAAAAGAGAATGGGGACCATTTACAACATATATGAAGAGGCAACATAAAGCAATGGACTCATTGGCAGGGTTTGAGTAAACTATCACAACTGGATACAAGAAAAAACAAGACTATATGTGTTGAGAAAATTTTGGGGAAACAACACGCAGGGCGAACAATATGGAAATAAAACAAAACGGGAGTATGGGGGAAGTCCAGGGGAGGAGGATCAAAATATGAAAAAATGTTAAAGATCTATTATTAGAAGTATACTGTATATGAAAAAATCAATAAAAAATATTTTTTTAAAAAAAACAATATGCGCAGAGCTTGGGATGCAAGCACACACCACACAGCCGAGGAGGTCATGTGAGCCAGCGTAGAGAGCTCCAGATTACGGGAAAGCATCCAGAGCCTTCCCACCTCCAACGGGCGCTGGAGGCGCGCAGGCACCAAGCCCCCACTCCACCTTGCTTACCTCCCCGCTCTCCCCTCCCCGGACTCTCTCCGGACTCTCCGCTTGGCGCCCTCCGCTGCTTGGTGCCCTGGCTTGTCGCGCCACTACACCCAAAGGTAAAGACGTCCCTGAAGTCCACCAATGTCTCTGAGTCGTGATGGCTATTGCCTCCAGGATCAGAGACAGATTGCTTCTGAGTACCAGTTGCTGTGGATTGCAAGTGGGGAAGTGCTGCTACACTCATGTGGGCAATGGCTGTAGCTCACTGGCAGAGCATTCGCCTTGCATGCAGAAGGTCGCAGTCTCAATGCCTGGTATCTCCAGGTAGGGCAGAGAGAGAATCTTATCTGAACATCCCAGGGAGAACTCTTGCCATTCTGTGTAGACTGAACTAGATGTAGCAATGGTCTGACTCAGTATAAGGCAGCTTATTATGACCCAATGTCCTGCTTCTGGGCTTCCCAGAGACACCTGGTTGGCCATTAGTGTGCACTTGTACACTATATTTCCCATGGTGCTGCGTAAAGGAGAAAATCCATTAGTTTGGGGTGGGTTTTGGTTCTAACAGCACCCGCTGACGATATGCAGCAAGCTTTCCCCATTTGTTTGTGTTAGTCAGGTAATTGCTTGCAAATACATTTTCTGGTAATTGTGCTATAATTTGTAATAAGATGGAATAATTGCCATGAATGTGGGATTCTGTAACAACTGTTTTTCAGGAGACTGCTTTCCTTTAAAACAACCCACACGGTTTATAGACATGTTTAATTGGTAGGATTAACCTGACAAGTGCCTGAGAGCTCCCTCTGTTCCACAGATGGGGTAGGGACGCTGGTGGAAGCAATTTATATACTCAACATCCCCCTGCATTTGTACTTGGGAGAGAGATGGAGTGTGTGTTTTCTTCCAGTGTGAGGAGCCCCAGCTCTGTGTGTGGCTGACCCACGTAGGGAAGCTGACAGACTTGGAGTATCTTCCAAGTATTGAAATATTTTTGAGCTCTGGGTCAGTTCCAGCTATTCAGGCTGTCCATTGGGCCTTCCTAGTAGACAGGAAGAGCTATAAAGCACTTCCTCCTTGAGATGGAGCTTTGCCTGATCAAGAATGGCCTTTCAGGTTCCAATATGCTTTGACATACTTTTCACCTCTGATTCCAAGTCCTGTCCATTGGCTCTTGGCTACTGGATGTTGTCCCTTGGCTTCATCCCTCAACTCATTCTCTTGACTCCATCCCTCGTCTTCTAGCACCTCGTCTTCCCTTGGCCCCTTCCATTGGCTCCTGGCTCCATCCTTCAGTTCCATTGCTTGGCTTCTGGGACCTTCCTTTGACTTTTTCCATTGGCTCCTGGCTCAGTCTCTCAGATCCATCCCTTGAATCCACCCCTTAGCTTAGGGTTTCCCTGGACTTCATCTCTTGTCTCTTGGCTCCATCCCTCATCTCCATCCATTGGCTCCTGGCTCCACCCCTCAGTGGGTAGAGCACTGTTTTGCTGAGGTCCCATTTGTGAGCTTCCCATGAGCATCTGGTTGGCCACTAAAAGAAAAATCCAGGCTAGATTTTGCTTTGTTCCAAAGGGACTCTTCTTATTAGGTGTGTTTTGACAAAGCCACTTCCGACATAAGGAGGAGGTGGGGTTTTGGGCTTCACACCCCCAATCTCACGCATGGAGGCTGTTTCCAGCCCCCGTGTGATCAGGGGCTCCCCCTGCTGGTGTTAACCCTTCCCGGTCTTCATGCAAACAGGCTGAAGCCAGATAGTCTGATAGGACCAATGCCTAAGCCAATACCGCTCTTACCTGTCACCAATAAAGTTGTGGCCAATTTTAGCCCATTAACCTAATACAATGTTGTCACGTGTCTTTATTTCCATTGGGGGGAGGCGGGAACTTGCCACGGAACTTGCTGAGCCAGCGATATGATGCAGCAGCAGCAGGGAGGGAACCCCACCCTATTGCTATAATAGGCTGCATCAATAGAAGTATAGTGTTTAGCTTAAGGGAAGTAATATCACCATTCTATTCTGCCTTGGTCAAACCCCACCTGGAGATCTGCAAGGGTGGGCCTTGGTAATATGGCACCCTGTGCAAGGCCAAAATTTGACACCCTGCTTCCCAGCCCCTCGTGCTGCCTTCTCAAAGCTGTGTAAGGGAGTTGTGGGGCTTTGAGAAGGAGGTGTGAGGCTCTGGCAGGGTACTAGAGTCCTCATTCCTACTTCCCAAAGCTGGGCAAGCACTAACTAGGCTTTGAGAAAGAGGAAGGAGCGATCTAGGACCTTGACAGAGACCTCACACCTCCTTCCCAAAGCCCTGCACTTATAAGGCTTTGAAAAGGAGGTATGGAGGTGCCCCCTTGGTCCATGTGCAGATGAACCAGCCACACTGCCCCAAACCTGCCTCTGAGTTCTGTGTCTTATTCTGAGCACCATAGTTTAAGGAGGATATTGACAAGCCGCAATGTGTGCAAAGGAGTGTGACCAAGGCGATCAAGGGTCTGGAAACCAAGCCCCATGAGAAAAAGTTGAGGGAGTTGGATATGTTTAACTTGGAGACAATGGGACTGAGAGTTGATATGGGAGCCATTTTCAAATATCTGAATGGCTGTCTCATGGAAGATGGAGCAAGCTCCCCCCCCCCCGCTGTTCCAGAGGGGAGGACCCAGACCAATGGATTCAAATGATGAGAATCCAACTAAAGACCAGGAAGAACTTTCTGATGGTAAGAGCTATTTGACAGTGGAATTCACTCCTTCAGAAGGTGGTGGCGTCTTCTTCACAGGAGGTTTCTAAACAGAGGTTGGATGACCACTTGCCAGGGATGTTTTAGTCGAGATGCTTGCATGGCACATGACCAGATGACCCTTGGGGTCCCCTTCAATTCTTCAATTCTATGATACTGTGGCACACACAGCAACCTATCTGTTTTTCAGCCTAGTCCTAAGCCAGTTGCCATTCATTCTCCCGTTTACTGCCCTTCCCCATGAGACCCTCACAGAGCAGATTTGAGATTCGCAACACGTTAATTCCTCTTTAACCAATTGACTCTCTGGCTTCTCTACACACCGATTTCCACGGGAAGCAACAGAACTTTCTATCAAACAAATTAGTGTAATTTTCAGAGGCATGAAATTGCCAGATGACATGAAATCAGAGTTACAGGGTGAAGGAATGAATCAAAACCTCGACAACGCTAATTGGAGAATGACACATTAGCTGCTTCATTTGATGTCCTTTCACCGTTAGAGATTTCTGAGGCCAGCAACCTTGATTGGCATGTACCATTTTGCAGGGGGCGGGGTGTTTTCCCAGTTAATTACAACCACAGAGGTTCAAATGAAAAGTAGGAGAAAAATTCATTGAGCAAAGAGAAACATCACCATTGATTGAATTACGAGTGTTGCAAGGTAGTCCTTTCTTTCTTTCTCATGTTAATAGAGTCAGCAGTCATTCAACAAACTGATGGTCAGTAGCATCTGGACCGAGAAGATGAAATCATTTATTCAACACTGAACAGATCTAGGAAATTCTCTGCCATGTATATGAAGATGATAAGTAGATAATATGCACTTTGAAAGAGGGAGTTGAGGGACTTCCTCTAGAAGGAACATTACAGCAATTTTGAGGACCAACCTCATTTTTTGTGATTGTGAGTTGTTTTAAACTGTTTTTCATAGAATCATAGAATTGTAGAGTTAAAAGGGATCCCAAGTGTCATCTAGTCCAACTCCCTGCAATGCAAGAATATGCAACCATCCTATACAGAGATCAAACCAGCAACCTTGGTGTTATCAGCACCATGGTTTAACCAACTGAGCTATCTAGGAGCATTGTGTATTGATTGTTGCAACCCACCCTAGGACCTTAGGGTGAAGGATGGTGAGTAAATAATAACAAGTAGTAGCAGAAGCCTTCCTCAATGAAAGGTACTGGCTACCTGGTAAAGTAACTATCACATTTTCATCTCCATTGTATAAGCACATTTGCATACACTTTGCATCATTTACCCTGCAAAGAACAATGCAGCATCCCACCAACATGGGATGAGGGTTTGAATTCTCATCTATCAGGCATTGTTCACATATGTTCAAGCTTAACTTTAAATCAGGGATGCGGGTTGTGCTGTGGTCTAAACCACAGAGCCTAGGGCTTGTCTATCAGAAGGTCGGTGGTTCAAATCCCCACGACAGGATTTGCTCCCGTAGCAGTTCGAAAGCACGTCAAAGTGCAAGTAGATAAATAGGTACCGCTCCGACGGGAAGGTAAATGCCATTTCTGTGTGCTGCTCTGGTTCGCCAGAAGCGGCTTAGTCATGCTGGCCACATGGCCCGGAAGCTGTATTCCAGCTCACTCGGCCTATAGAGTGAGATGAGTGCCGCAACCCTAGAGTCATCCACGACTGGACTTAACTGTCAGGGGTCCCTTTACCTTTACCTTTAAATCACAAGGGCTAGGAACTTGGGATTTAAAAAAACAACTCATATACACACGCAACAACAAATGCACCACTTACAGAAGACAACTCTACACTATTATTTGTGCAATGTGGCTGTAAAATAAACACAAAGCTCACCTTGTGCACTGCAACCTTTACATAACATGCTGAAGGACGCACTTTTGAATCACGGCATTTATTCCTTTACGAACGACTTCATGTTTGCTAGCTGTATTAATCACATCTCCATTCACCATGGAGCCACCTGGGGCTTCCCCTCAATCTGCCTAAAGTCTATTTTTCTGTTCCCTCTTGACAAGGAAGACAGGCATCTTGTCAAAGAGAAATGTGTGTGCTTCAGTGTAGGTCCCCTGCTCACTTAGTGCCCCCAAGCCACAGAGATTTATTGATGCAAAATTTTAGCATTTTCTTCCCGGTTTGGATTTCAGTATTTGCATGTTCTGCCCTGTCAGTGTCTTCTTGTTTTGATCATGCTCAGTCGCTGTGAGGACACATCCCTCTGAAAGGGACTCAGTGAGTCATCAGCTCATGTTTTGATCTCCGCTTCATCTCAGAGAGTGGCAATAAAAACAACAAGATGTGCAAAGCTGGCTCGTATGGACTTCTGCTGTTGGTTCACCTGGCACAGGAGCTACTATGCTGTCCCTTCCCCAACCTGGTGCTTTCCATATGTTACTGGACTACAACTCCAGTCCTCCTTGACCATTGACCATGCTGCCTGAGTCTGATGGGTAGTGGAGACCAACAACATGGAGAGGGCACCAGGGTGGGGAAGGCCAATATAGAGTGAGATGGAAGCATCCTTTTCCATTTTGCCCAGCCCAAAACATTCTCTCTATTGTTCCCACCCTATTTGCTGATTGAAAGCACTTGCAATTCAAAACTAGTAGCTAAGCTTCCTTTATTCCCCATCCCATTAAATCCATGGACAAACTATGGAATTTGCATCCACATAGGGCTTGCCAATCAGATGGTCAGTGGTTTGAATCCCCGCGACGGGGTGAGCTCCCATTTCTCGGTCCCTGCTCCTGCCAACCTAGCAGTTCGAAAGCACATCAAAGTGCAAGTAGATTAATAGGTACCACTCTGGTGGGAAGGTAAACGGCATTTCCGTGCGCTGCTCTGGTTCGCCAGAAGCAGCTTAGTCATGCTGGCCACATGACCCAGAAGCTGTACACCGGCTCCCTCGGCCAGTAAAGCGAGATGAGCACCACAACCCCAGAGTCATCCATGACTGGACTTAACTGTCAGGGGTCCCTTTACCTTACCTTTTAGGGCAGTCATGGCCATCAGTTTGAATGGGTTTAAAAGGGAATTTGACAACAGATGGAGGAGAAACCCATCAATGGCAACTACCCACGTCAGCTATGTTCTCCCTCCCTTGCCGGAGGTAATATGTGCCTCTGGATACCAGTTTCTGGGAGTCACAAGTTGGGAAAGGTGCTGTTGAACTCAGGTCCAGCTTGCAGGCTTCCCAAATACTTCTGTTTGGCCATGATGAGCATATGTTGCTGGACCAGATGGGATTGATCCAGCAATATTCTTATTGTATCTACAACAAAGCAATGCAATTGCAATTTATTCCTTATAACCATATATATCCATTTACAATCCTCACTATAAATTATCCATAAAAATATTTATCCTCCTCTCTTACCTCCTGCTACCAACCCGTTTAAAGAGCTTGGCATTAAATCAGCTCGCAATAAATACTTCAAATTTAATGATTCATTAACATAGGCCAATTCGTTACTTTCAGAACAGGGGCCTCTTTGCTATAAGATTAAAAGAATTTGTCCAAACAATGCATGTTAAAACAAGACTAGTCTTTTGCTGTGCTGTTAACTCCTAATAGCTTTCTATGACCTTGCAAATCAGAGCTGCTTAACTGTAGCTTAGTGGCTGATCTGTGATTTCAATAGTAAAGATGGATTGATGGAACTTAAGTAGAGTCTTCTGTATCTTCCCCCTCCCTCTTATTCAGCTAGCAAGTTAAGTCAGGCTAACTCACCGTCCCCACCCCCCAACCCAAGTCTAGTGGTAGCCAAAAGCACACCACAAACCATCAGAAGACCACTCTGCCTTTCCTCATTTAGCTATGGAAACTTAAGCACAAACTCCATCACTTTCACACTGAAAAGTGTGTGGGGGTGGGGTGGTATTTGGATAGGCAAAATCATTAAGTGGAATTGTTTTTTGGTAGGCAGGGTTGTGTGTGTGCTAATGCAATGTGGAATGGGACGGGTCACAGCTCAGGGGTACAACATCTGTTATGCATGCAGGAGGCTGCAGGTATGATTCCCAATGGCATCACCAGATAGATTATATGCTCAGGTCCAATCCCAGGTTCTACAGAGAAAACAGGGACCAGCAAGGCTGGTCCAAGGTTTCAGGATCATGGACAACTCCAAGTGAGCAAGTTGCTCCAACAATGTTGGGAGCAGACTGGGCCCCTTTAAGTTAAAGTTACCAGATTTTTTTCAAAGAATCCAGGGACACTTTTTTTTTTTAATGAGAAAAAAAAGTTATTTCTTTTTTTCTTTTTTTTTAAAAAAAGAAGTAATATCTTCTCTCCTGTGGGCAGTTGGCTGGGTGGCTGGGCGCTCTCATTCCCAGCTCAATTTGGGTTGCGGGGGAGTCAGCGGTTCCCCCAGTTGATGTGCCGGGCATCCCCGGTTTCCCCTTGGCAGTGACAACAGCAGTCTCAGCAGCCCGGAGCCAGCCTGATAGCGCGGTTCGCTCTGGCTGGCTTCAGGAGCTGCTCGCTGCCGTGGCACCTGCCATTTTGCCTCACCAGAAGTTCCCATATGATGTGTCTTGTGGCATTGAACCAATCACACAACATTCATTCCCCACTAATAAATCTACAACACTTAAAATATAAATCCGGAGACATTAAATGAAATCCGGGGACATTCTGGGGATGGATTTTGTCCGGGGACAGATTTGTAAATCTGGGGACTGTCCCCAGGGAAAGGGACATCTGGTAACCATACTTTAAGTCTCTGTCTGCAGACTCTACTTCCTAGATGAGAAGTTCAGAGCCTCAAAGGGCCAACCCTCTGGCTGAAGACCGGCACTCTTTCTCTGTTCCATAGGCTCTCAAGGAGTGCTCCTAGTTGTACCAGATGGGTGGTGCGGAGTGGGAGGCATCTGTTTTTTCAGCTTCAGAGGAAGTGCCTATGAAGGTCTAGCCTCTAGCCCTATAGGCCTTGATGGTCTGGGAGGTTCATCTTCAGGTACAATGGTATCCCTATGCTCAGCATTCAGCTCTGAGTCCTGAACTTGGCCTGGCTCACCATCTGATGCCCCTGCAGCCTCCAACACCATGTCCAGATCACTGCTAGATTCTGGAGTTGCAACAGTAAGGCCTCCCTCCCCAAAACCCAGAGAGCTGTTGCCAGTGTAGGCAACACAGGGCTGAATGAACGAGGACACTGGCTCAGTATGAGGCAGCTTCCTATGTCCTTCATGATTCCAAAATCTGTGCACCAAGCCCATTTTCAGTCCAATGGCTGTTTCCTCTCATTATCCCCCACGTCTGAGGCTCTCTGCCCCTGCCGCAAATGTACAAATATGCAGAAGAAAACCTCCTCTTCTTGATCTGCCTCCCCTCCTTTATTCAGAAACTCCAGTGAGAAATTCTTAAAAACTGGAACCTAAACATACCCACCCTGCACTTTCCAGAAGGGCTTAATCGTGCAGCTAAGTCATTTAGCAGCACAAAGCAAAATGGGATGCACTTTTTCATGAAATAATCATGTAAAAGACAATTTGCTGCGAGATGCAGAAAAGACATCAGCATTGTCTAATCTGTGTCAGCTCGGATGCTTTAATAATATTGTATTAAATGACCCAGAGCTTCTCTTCCTGTAGGATAGTGGTGCCTTATCGCTCACGTCCAGGAGGTTTGTTTTTCTGATTTATGCCTTGACACCCACATGCGATCCTTCCCGTTACAGCGGTTCAGCTCCTGGGCATCTGTGGAAAGCATATACTGCTGTCATAACAAGAGCACGGCATCTGATAGTCTCCATACAGTCTGACAGCTCCTCCCAGGGAAATGACTTTAAAAGGGGTCATATATTTACTCCCACCCCAAAGAACATCCCCTCAAAGTCTGGGTATTATTCACACTCAAATGGAGTGAACTTCCTCTGGGAAGGAGGGAGAGGCACAAAATGATGTTGCTTAAGAATAAAGCAGCTAGATCAGCCAATTAAGCCCAGCAGTGTCCAATGAGAGGCCTCTGGCAAGCCTGTGATAGGAGCTTTGGAGCTTCCCATTGGAGCATCTGCTTGGCCAATGAGAAAACTGGGTGGGATTCTGGGAAAATATTTATAACGAACAGAAGAAGATGTTTAGATTTTCAT